AAAAAGTGTCTCATAATAGTGAATTTGTCTTTGACACAATGAATTAAATTGTCCATGGCTGTAACCTCTCAAACTGTTTCAAACTAATTATCTAGATAGGGGACTACACTGCCTCTTTCTGGCCTTAATGAGAGGGGAATACAAAGATATAATCAGCTGTGTTTGAGGCAGTAACCTTTTCAGGTAACTAGATAATGACTGCTTTTGAACTTTAGTGCCCACAAAAGTTGCTTGAAGAAGAGTCCAGAAGAGCATGTACCTGGGGGCTGTAGATGGTGCTCTTTCATTTAAGTACTTTCAATCAAGTACAGTAAATATTTTAAGTCAACTTTCCAAAGTTCACCAAAAATCAATATAAAGATTCAATTAAAGTTTAACATTCAAAGGCTGGCCTAAGTTTCTGTTTGTGTAGCTTCTGCATCCAGACTAGTCCTTGGTGTTGACAACATTTGCAGTGGTAATTCCTGCATCTAATGTGACAACAACAGGAGACTTTTAAGAAGGCTAATAGGACAGGATTTTGAGCCATTATAATGGATTTTAAAGCAGTTTCATTGTATTTCCAGCCTGCTTTAATCGATATTGTAATTGGCGTCACGCAGCTTTGAGTTTATTCCTTACCACTATATGGTAGTGAACATTGGTCGTGTGGAAGTTCAAAGCATTGCTTGTCAGAGGCGTAGTGTATTTAGGGAGTAAGATGTGGTACATCATGATCAGGAACTGTAATTTTCATTTTAAATTAGGCATGCAAATCTCTCAAAGCGTGCTTTTCTGTAACTTTATTGTAGTGATCATGGATAAATCTTCTTGTGGATTGCTTTCTGTGTTGTATTGGTGGTACTTCTTGTCAATGATGGTCTAGGAGGTAGCTTCAATGTGACACCATCCAGAGGTTATAGAAGTGGATACAGAAAGGCATAGGGAAAGTGTGTGATCAGTAGGATCAGAAGATTGAGCAGTGAGGCTGCAAGTATTGTTACAGGAATGTCATTGTAGCTGTTTTGTTCTATGTTTGTCTCAGGTGGGCTGTATGATTTGAACTTTGTGACAAGTTAACTTCTTGCTCCTGGGAGAATTCCTACAGTAACCATAGTCTCCACAGTATATGGTATCTTGGGGGGATGTAGCTTTTAAAAAGTAAGGTGTAGGAGTTTTGGCCAGTTGTATGGTACTGGATACATTCTATCCTCCTCATGCTGAATGTTCCTCTTATCTTGATGTAGAATAGTGATAGAAATGTAGCCGTGTTAGTCTGGTGTAGCTGAAACAAAATACAGGACTATGTAGCACTTTAAAGACTAACAAGATGGTTTATTAGATGATGAGCTTTCGTGGGCCAGACCCACTTCCTCAGATCAAATAGTGAAAGAAAATAGTCACAACCATATATACCAAAGGATACAATTAAAAAAAATGAACAGATATGAAAAGGACAAATCACATTTCAGAACAGAGGGGGATGCGGGGGAAAGGAAGGTAAATGCCTGTGAGTTAATGATATTAGAGGTGGGGAAGGGGAGATGTCTGTGAGTTAATGGTATTAGAGGTGATAATTGGGGAAGCTATCTTTGTAATGGGTAAGGTAGTTCGGGTCTTTGTTCAGCCCCCTGCGGAGAGTGTCGAATTTTAGCATGAATGCCAGTTCAGAGGATTCCCTTTCAAGTGCAGATTTGAATGTCTTCTGAAGTAGGATGCATGTGATTAGGTCATTGAGACAGTGTCCTTTCTGGTTGAAATGGCAAGAAACTGTTTTTTCTTTGTGATCCTGTCTAATGTCTGTTTTGTGGGCATTGATTCTTTGGCGAAGTGTCTGAGACGTTTGTCCAATGTACATAGCAGACGGACACTTTTGGCACATGATAGCATAGATTATATTTCTGGATGCGCAGGAATACGTATTCTTGATCTTATAACTCACTTGGTTAGGCCCAATAATGGTGTCAGCAGAGTGAATATGTGGACAAAGCTGACAACGGGGTTTGTTGCAAGGGAAAGTACCAGGGTTGGTATTAGTGTGGTATGTCTTGTGGTTGTTGGTAAGAATCATCTTGAGGTTAGGTGGTTGTCTATAGGAGATTATGGGTCTGTCTCCCAGAGCTTCTTGGAGTTTACATTCAAATCTGCACTTGAAAGGGAATCCTCTGAACTGGCATTCATGCTAAAATTCGACACTCTCCGCAGGGGGCTGAACAAAGACCCAAACTATCTTACCCATTACCAAGATAGCTTCCCCAATTATCACCTCTAATACCATTAACTCACAGACATCTCCCCTTCCCCACCTCTAATATCATTAACTCACAGGCATTTACCTTCCTTTCCCCCGCCTTCCCCCTCTGTTCTGAAATGTGATTTGTCCTTTTCATATGTGTTCATTTTTTAAAATTGTATCCTTTGGTATATATGGCTGTGACTATTTTCTTCCACTATTTGATCTGAGGAAGTGGGTCTGGCCCACGAAAACTCATCACCTAATAAACCATCTTGTTAGTCTTTAAAGTGCTACATAGTCCTGTATTTTGTTTTATCTTGATATGTTCTCTTGATCCTTGTCAGAGAGGTCATGTAGCTTGCACTTTTAAAGCTGTTATGCTGTTATCACTGAATGTCTTTGCGTCAACTGGATACTGCATCCCTAACAACACTTGAAACCTTGTGAAACCCCCCTCCTTTCTAATTTCATTTTGAAAGTGAAAAGTGGTGTCTGGCCACTGCCCCTATTGTTTGGTTTCCCTTTTGCCAAAGGCAGGAATTTTTTGTGTTCAGCTCAATTTTTTCTCACCTTGAGTGGAAAAGTACAAGATCCAAAATAGGCCTAGCCACATGTCTGGGCAGGGCCAACCACAAACCAGGCTTACAGAGAAACAAGACTAATTACAGGCCTTTGGTTTGAGTACGGAGCTGTTATGTTTCCAGAGTATCCCCAATGGTCCTCATTAGCACCTTTAGGTTTATAAACTGATTCACATTTCATATTTCTAACTTTACATACAACAGTGATACATGCACAGAAATAGAATATACACATTCAGCAGATCATAACTTTAAAAAGTCGCATGACGCCTTTAGCCTAAAACATCTTTGAGTTGTGTATATTCATATTCATAAGCCAATTTTCATAAAGTGGGCAGGGGCATGACAACTTCTTCACTTCACTTCACATTTTCTGTAGAAAAGGACCTTGGGATTATAGTAAATGAGAAACTGGTATGAATCAACAGTGGGCCCTTGTAGCTAAGAAGGCTGAGGGCATAGTGAGCTGCATTAGGAGAAGCGACTGCTTCTCTCTATTCAGCACTGGCAAGGCCACATCTGGAGTAATGTGTCCTGTTTTGGTGCTCCCCTCTTCCCCACTACAGAAAGGGTGAGGACAAACTGGAGAGAGTCCAGCAGAGGGCAACAAAATTATTAGGGACCTGGAGCACATGACTTATTAGGAGGGGCTTTTTTAGTCTTCAGAAAAGAAGAATGAGAGGGGAATTTGATAGCAGCCTTCAACTACCTGACAGGTTTCCAAAGAAGATAACCAGGCTATTTTCAGTGGTGGCAGATGACAGAACAAAGAGTTGAGAGAACAAAATCTCAGGTTGCCATGGAGGAGGTCTGAGTTGGATATTAGGAAAAACTATTTCACTACAAGATGGTGAAGCAATGGAATGGGCTGTCTAGGGTGGAATCTCCATACTTAGAGGTTTTTAAGTCCTGTTTTGACAAAGCCCTGACTGGGATGATTTAGTTGGGGTTGGTCCTGCTTTGAGCAGGAGGTTGGACTAGATGACCTCCTGAGGTCTCTTCCAACCCTAATCTATGATTCTTCTACTTTAACAGCTCTGTGTGGCAGTCATCACTGTCCAGTAGAGGTGGACTGGGGGGGGGTCACTTGTATGGTGCTAGTTTGCTCTTCGTGGTAATCCAATCCCTTGCATTTCTTTTGAGACTGTGAACTGCTTGGATTGTAATTCCTTAGCGCAGTGATCAGGGACTGTCTTCTTTGTTTTGTGTTTTTTACAGTGGGGTCCTGGTCCATTTTCATAGGCCTAGAATAACACAAAAATAAAATTCTAGGGTGCTAATTATGGTGACATGTTGTGATTTGGTATGGTCATCCACTAGAAACTGCACGGAAATGACCTACGCACAGTGGATTTGTCATTGGATAGTAAATGGTTTCAAGCCAAAGCTGGATTTGATTGGTTGACCTGAGATGAATGGCTTTCTATAGAATGGCCAGACTATGAAACATCTCATTTTCTTGTCCTGGGTTGTCGGTGGGCTGAAATACTGCATGTGGGGACAGGTCAGCTCATCTTTCTGTATTACAAGGACTATTATGCAAACTGGAATCTTTGTCTTCTTTAATTCTGCCTTTGGTAAGACATGAGAAATGGTTATATGTTTCCCTCTTCCTATTTCATACATACAGGAATGAAGTACAGTGTTTCTCATATAGCCATAGCCTGACACATACTGTTCTAAACAAAGGCTAAATTCTCTGGCACTAAATCTTAATCCTAGTCTGCACTAAGTCTTTTTATTTTGATAAATTAGCAAATGGACATAAGTTTTATTTTTAACAAGCTTCTTTCTGCAGAATCCTAGGAGCAAAAAGCATGTTTCCAGAATTGTTTTCATATTAATCGTCATAGTTTATTTTAAGGATACTGTGTTTAACCCAATCATCTTGCTCCTCTACCAGAACTAGGAACCACTCCTGAAACTGTGCAGAGACAAAAAAGGTGGCCAGTCTATTTTCACTGTCCAGAAAGAGTGGTGTGCAAAAGATAAAAGGTAGATTTGGATTGTGCGAGTTGCTTTTAGTTGTAATGTTCTTAGGTAGGCATAATATATGGGTCAATAAATCTGGTTTCAAAATTTTTTTTAACTTGTCAAAGTCCCTTTCAAGCAGAAGAAAAATTGGGGAAATAGGGAGGTAGGTTATTGAGATTCAGTGTGTGCTTCTTTGTAATGTAATCTTTGTTTTTTTAATCTATCTCCAGGATGCACTCCTAGAAAGTGTGGAAGAGGCATAACAGACACAGTAATCACCAGGGAGGAAGCTGAAAGAATCCGTAGGTAATTTTTCTTTTAGCCTTAAAGAATTACCTTAGTAGCATTGGATTTACAGGCAAGTGGAGCTTATGCTGAAAGTGTTTAAAGCATGTCATAAGTGCAGAAGACACTAGCTGAGGACTAAGGATAACGTTATATATAAGATGTTAATATCTTTTCAGGTATTCTACCCCTCTGTTTTTATTTTCTTGCTTGTGACTTGTAATTGCAGGATAAGGATTTCAAGCAAATGACAACTCCTTTCTGTTACCAATGCACATACATATATTGTGTTAGTGAATATTTACTCAGCAATTTTATTTTGTAAATTGTATTGTTAAGGACAAAAAGGCTGTAGTTCTGATTTGAGACTGTTGTTTCACCTGCAGAATAGCAGAGAGGGGACTGTCCTTGGGAGGATCTGATGGAGGGGTGAGCAGAGTCCTGTTACCTTTTACATTCTTCTATTCTCAAGGCAAGATTTTCAGGTTTTAAATGCATTTTTTGGGAAGGAGTTATGGGAGGTAGTAGGATGGATAATTCCTCTGGCCATCCTAATTTGGCAAGATCTTCCCATGGTCATCATGTCTGTTTCAGATCTATGCATTTGTCTTTGTCCATTACAGAGGAGAAAGAGAATTGCAGCTCTAAAATTAATAGTTTGATTAACTACTGGATAAAGTGGCTTCATTTTGTCTTGTTTTAGATGAACCAAAGGAAAGGCAAGCCATTTTATGAGTACATGCTGGATATAGATTTCTTTCTGATGGATATCTGTTCTGTGTAATACAGTTCACCCTTAATGGCTTACCGGTTCAGGTTAACTGGTGGGGGCTGGAGCAACTCTCCACCTTCCACTGTTCTGTTTCAGTAAGTACTAACTTAGAAGACAGTGGTGCTAATTTAAAATATAACATTCTTAATTATTTCACAGCTTAACATGTGAGAAAGCGTAGGAAGCATCTTATTCAGGATCCTAAATATCCCACTATTTAGCAGCTGTGAAACTTGCCACAGAATTTATTCCATTTCTGCACAATTTTGCTTCAGATTCTCAGCTTTCATTGCAATATAAAATCATTTCTAGACCTTGTGATTGCAGAGAGAACCTCAAACATGAACCAAAACACATTTTATAGTGTCTCCCTGCCCTGCTGAGACCTGCATGTAGCTGTCTCTTGTTCTGTAGATTTCCCCACAAGAGGGAGTTAACTGCATTACAATGGATGCCCCAGCACTGTTTTGTGAAGTCAGGTAGTAAGTATTGGGGGTGATGGAGAGAGCTGGAATCTAGCCTGCTACCAGGAAGTGGGGGACATAGCTCCCACACCTAAAAATGTTTCCAGGCTCCTCATTTGTCACTTTTTGCAAGATTCCTTAAAAAAAAAAAAAGGTAAAAGGAAGGCTCTCAGTGCTCTGAAAATAATTCTTAGAACAGTAGGTGATGGGCATCCCGCTAAACTTGTTGCATTTTACATAAATATTTAGAGTGACCATCTGTCCCATTTTTACTGGGACAGTCCCGTATTTAAGGGCTGTTGCCTGTGTTCCGACTTCTTTTTTAAAAAAAAGGGCACAGTGTCCTGTATTTCTCCTTCAGCAGGGGGCGGGGAAGAGCTGCCAGCACTCAGGGCTTCAGCTGCTGGAGCCTCAAGTACCTGCGCCTCCTCTCCTGTCCCCACTCTACATGTTGTGGCACTGAACTTTGTTTCTGGGATGGGGCAGGGTGGATGGGGAGAGACTGGCACTTGGAGCTTCAGCCGCTGAAGCTCCAGCACTAGTGGCTACTCCCCTCAACCACTCTGGGGCTGGAGCCCTTAGCACCCCAGTGTGCTGGTGGCTTCTCTCTCCCCGCCCCTCCCCGCAGGGCTGGAGCCCTAAGTGCCCCCGCCCGCCCCCCCGTGCTGAGGGCTGGAGCCCCAAGCACCAGCAGCCCCCCATATTTGGTGGCCCATATTTGGCATGGGGAAATATGGTCACCCTATAAATATTCCCACTTGCGCTATAGTAACAACACTTAGCATTATATAGCATCTTACATATTCAAAGCCCTGTACAATCATACTCACAGCACTGTATTTTGAGACAGCATTTTATTATGCTGTCTGATGGGAACAGAACATCAAGTTAATTGTCTGTGAACGACAAATAGTCTAGCAGCACTTTAAAGATTAACAAAATATGTTGATGGTATTACGAGCTTTCATGGGTGCAACCTCCTACTTCAGATGAATGGAGTACTAAAAGTCCAGTTCCAAAATAAATAGGGGATGGGGAGGGGAAAGGAAGGGGGAAAAACATAGTGAATGAATAGTCTACCAGTTACAGACTAACTCGGCTACCCCTCTGAAGCTATGTAAAACTAGTCATTTTTTCAGTACTGTCACTACTTTTGTGATGTTGGATCTGTGTTCTGTGTTGATGTAACCGTTGAATTGGGCACAGAGTTTTGAATAGCATTAGATACGAATACTCCCTTTCAGCTGGCTGACAGGAGAATTCATTGGATTACTGATTTGTCTGAGGACGAGGGGCTCTTCTCAGTATGAAGGATCATTGCAGTATGTGAATCATATAATCTTGATTGACACTATTAGGGAAACTTTTTGGCTGTGAGCTACTTCAGATCAAATTATATGTGAGTGTTGGGGGGCAGCTCTTGCGTTTCAGCAGATGGTAACCAATTGCTTCACTTGAAAGAAGCAAATGTAAATGTCCTTTATCCAAGTGCTGTTAGCTTTAGTGAATGGTTTGCAAATAATCAAATCGGGGGTAACCAACCTGTGGCAGTGGCCGTTCCGGTGAGACCCAGGCATTGGGTTAGAATGGGAGGGGTCTGGGGGTGCCTGGTTCTGGGGGAGAGAGAGGGCATTGGGTTAGAGTGGGGGGAGCTGGGAGGGCCTGGATCTGGGGGGGAGAGAGGGCATTGGGTTAGAGTGGGGGGAGCTGGGAGGGCCTGGATCTGGGGGGGAGAGAGGGCATTGGGTTAGAGTGGGGGGAGCTGGGAGGGCCTGGATCTGGGGGGGAGAGAGGGCATTGAGTGCGGGGGCTGGGGGTGCCTGGCTCTGGGGGACGGATGTGTGGCTCTTTGCACTACTATCCACAACTCTTTTGGCTCTTCATGTCGAACTGGTTGGCCACCCCTGAATTATATCAAGTTGGTGCCCTCATTGTTCTGCCATAGAGTGATTTTACTCCTAACCTCTGCTCTTCTCTGAGTCCTCACTTCCATCTTCTTCCCCTGCTTTGGGTTTTCTGATCTACTGACTCCAGGCCTGATCCTAGGACATACCATCTTTGCACTGATCCCTTAATCCAGAGAGCTCTATTGAAATGCAATCTCATTTATTTTCCCCGGAGATTAATTTTTTTCCCCAGTGGACTGTTATTTTGGGGTTTTTGCCTTCATGATGATAGCTTAGGCTTTGGTTTACTCCATCCTCTTTCACGCCTGGTCTACACTAAGGGTGTGTCTAAACTACATGCCTCCGTCGACGGAGGCATGTAGTTTAGACACACCCTAAGAGTTTAGGTCATATGTAGCCACATAAGGTCAGTTTTTCTAAATAATGAGTCTACACTACCAAGTCTGATCCATCAACTTTAAGGGCTGGCGAAGTCAATTTCATTACTCCTACTTTTCACAAGGAGAGTAATGCAAAATTCGACATACACTGGGTAGGGTGGAACCAGTGTTGAGAGAGCAGACGTTTTTGGCCTCTGGGAGAGATCCTGCAGTGCCTTGCTGTGACCACTCTGGCCAGAACTTGCATTTCTCCTGTTCTCCCACTGAATAGGAAAAGCCCCAGGAAAGTTTGAATTTCATTTACCTGTGGCCGGTGTTGCTCACTCATCTTAGAGCAGGTAGCACAGCAGCACATGTGGCCAAAAGTTCAAGTTTCCTGGGTGCCAGGTCTCAGGGGCATAAAAGAGCACCAGCATGGAGTGTGCAGGACCTTGGACCTCATCAAGGTGTGGGGGGAGGAGTCCATTCTCATGGAGCTCCAAAACAGCAAAAGAAACACCGATATCTATGTGAAGTACATGGTGGAGAAAGGATACTCCAGGGACTCCCAGCAGTTCTGTATTAAAACAAAGGAGCTGAGGCTGTCCTATCACAAAACAAAGATGGCAAATGGATGGTCTTATGCATCACTGTGAATGTGCGGCTTCTACAACCAGCAGCATGCGATCCGGGGAAGGGGGGGACCCGGCCAGCTCCCTAAGCCAGACTGTGGAATCCACCCAACACGTTCAGGGCAGCAGCACTAAGGACAGAGTGGTGGGGAAGGAGCAGGACAAGGAGAATGGCCAGCCAGTGAGAGGCAAGAGCCAAGAACTTTTTATCACTTTGGAGACCATCTCCTCCTCCTAGGACATCTCACAGTTGGACACGTCTGGTGAGTTAACGGTATTTTTCTTGCTGCAAGTAGGAGTTAAGGTAATTGGGTGTGATGTGTGGTGTACTCGGTTCCAATATAGCATGGGGAGGGGGGCCCAGAACAGCGTATTAACTGAGGAGATGGAGCGGGAATCCCTGGTGCATTTCTCCAAGAATATCTCACATAGGAACTTTTTGATCCTTCTCACATGGTTTCTGGGGAGGCTGCCTTATTCCATCCTCCACAGTAAGCACCTTCCCTCGCCAAGCCAGCAGTAAGTGGTCTGGCGTCACCGCAGCACAAAGCAGTGCTGCATAAGGCCCAGGTTTTTAGCCACATTCAGTCAGCATCAGCTCCCTATCACTGTGTGTGATCCGGAGAGATTGGTATCGCTCAATGGCAGCCTGGATGAAGGAGGGAAAGCTATTAACTGCTGCCTTTGCTGCTGCTACTATGGCTTTGCCCTCCCTCCCTCCTGCCCTCCCATCTGCACGCGTCCATGGGATGGGAAAGTAGCACTCTCCCAGGAAGCTGCTGTGGCAGATAGAGAGGAGAGAAGCCGTGTGAGCCACTGTCCCCCCCTCCTGCCTGCAGAATTGTGCCCTGGCAGGCCCTTTATCATGCCTGCCTCCAGTCCACGTGAGTCCAGATGTTCCCTTGAGAACTCTGTTGTTTACCTGCTGGACAGAAGCTGCTTTAAGGCATAACATGGCCTTGCACAGAACACATCTCCATTGTCTTTAGAGAGACCTTTGCTGTATGTTAACAGATTAGGTTTTAGGCTCCACAATGTATCCCCTGTAATGTGTGCCCTTGAAACTTTTCATCACAATGGGAACACCAAGGAGCTTGCTGCATACTCCCCCAGCTCCAGCAAATGGACAAGGGAAGATATGTTTAAGGAGCAAATGGAATGGAGGAACACATTCCTAGAGGAGATGCAAACGAAGCTACAGGAGAGACTAGCAGGAGAGGAGAGCATGCAGGAACTGCAAGCAAAGCACCAGGAGAATGTCTTTTTGTCCCTGATGGCTGTGACGGAGCACCTGG